TGACATTTCTTGAAGACTGTTTTACAAAACCAACTCACCACAAGATAATAACCAAAAGATTGTTTTGCTTAATGGCTTATACAATTACCCCATTCCATCTTGATAAAAAAAATATCATTTAACCCAAGATTTGCTATAATGACCAAAATTTACTTTTTCCTCAAAATCCCAACTTTCTAGCAAGATCCAACTTTTCAAAAAAACAGGTTAAAACAAATAACCAGTAGGCTGCAAATTTCCGTCCAAAAATGAACGACTAATACAGTGAGCACAATCTTTCCACTGTCTACTCAAAACAGTAAAAAAAATTTTACTTTTTCAACATTCTTACCTTAAAACCAAAATATTTACGAAAATTTAAAAACGATTCCCAAAAATTACTGGGTTGGATCAGGCATTCCTTCTAGAAGGAAATGTTTGATCTGATCCCCATTAACTTTGAAAACCATGTTATATTGGGGATTTTAAAGATCTATCGTTCCAAATTTCCCCACATTGACAATTATGAATGGTCCGGACCATATTGATTTAAGTTTTCCGGGAAAAAGCCTTAATCGAGAATTAAAAAAAGAGGGCCTTTTGACCATTATCAAAAATTCGATGATTAAACCTACGAACATGCCATGCTTTTGTTTTCTCTTTGTAAAGTTTGGCATTTTTGTAGACATGATATCGCCAGTCTTCGAACTCATCGAGTTAAAATTTCCTTTTCTCTCCTGCAGAGTTCTCATCCAAATAATATTCTTTAATTCCCCAAAACGCTTTGTATTCTAATTCTAGCAGGAGGTGGCATGCTTAACAAAAACCAATTGGTACGGAGACATTCCCAAAAGGGTTTTAAAGGCGGTTCGGTATGCCCACAATGCATCATCCAACTTGAGTGACCAATCCTTACGATTCGGTTTTACGACTTTCTCTAAAATATTTTTAATTTCACGATTAGAAAGTTCGGCATGACCATTCGTTTGTGGATGGTAGGCTATAGCAACTCGATGTTGGATGTTGTATTTACTAAGAACGGTAGCTAACATTCGATTTATAAAATGCGTCCCTTCATCACTTATTAATGCTCGGGGAGTTCTGAAACAGACAAAAAGATTTTTATGCAAAAAATCAATTACCGTTTTAGCTTCATTCTTTGGGCATGCTTTAGCCTCTACCCACTTTGAAACATAATCAACCGCAACCAAGATATATTGATTATTAAAAGACATAGGAAACAGTCCCATGAAATCGATGCCCCAAACGTCAAAAGGTTCAACTTCAAGAATATTATTTAGAGGCATTTCATTTCATTGGGACAAATTTTCCATTCTTTAACATTGATCACATCTCTTTACAAAATCAAATGCGTCCTTGAATAAGGTTGGACAAAAAAATCCACTTTGCAAAAAAATTTCGGCCGTACGTTGTCCATCGAAATGGCCACCATACAGTCATACATGACAGTCTTTTAACAAAGAGGGAATTTCAAAAATAATGCTTACAGTCATGAAGGAATTTTTTAAAGTGCTGCCAAAATGTACTCATCAGGAAAAAAAAATTATCATATGGTTTCCCCCGCTTGAAATTTTGCCTTCAATCCTTGACAAATGATCAACTACTTCATTGTCACATCCCTTGCGATCAACTATCTCTAAATCGAATTCTTGCAAAAGGAGAACCCATCTAATAAGCCTAGGTTTAGCATAGGCTTTATTAAAGATATATTTGATTGTAGAGTGATCCATATGCACGTTGACTTTAGTGCCAATTAAGTAGGATCGAAAACGACCGAAGGCAAATGCTATGCAAGTAATTTATTTTTTGTGGTGGTATAATTTAATTGGGCCTCCACCAAAGTTTTACTTGCATAGTAGATGGGGTGGAAGATCTTGGTTTGTTTTTGCCCCAAAATGGCACCTACGGCCCATTCACTTTTGTCACACATAACCTCAAAAGATATGGTCCAATTTGGGGCAATGACAATACGTGCCGAGACAAGAGTTGTTTCAATAGTTTCAAAAGCTTTTTTACATTCAGAGGTAAATTCAAAATTTTGATCAACATGCAATAAATTACATAAGGGTTTGGAATTTTCGAAAAATCTTTAATAAATCTACGGTAAAAGCCCGCATGTCCCAAAAAACTTCGAATGCCTTTGACCGAAGATGGGTCGGGCAATTGCAATATAACCTCGATTTTTGGTTTATCAACTTTCAAACCATTTTTCAAAACCATGTGACCCAAAACAATTCCTTCTTGTACCATAAAATGACAGTTTTCCCAATTCAAAATTAAATCATAAGTTTCACATCTTTCCAAACTTTTCTTTAAATTGGCAAGACAATTTTCAAAAAATGCACCAATAACTGAAAAGTCATCCATAAATACTTCCATGGTATCTTCAATCATGTCCGAAAAATTGACATTATGCAACGTTGGAAAGTAGCCGGTGCGTTACAAAGACCAAATGGCATACGCCGAAAAGCAAAAGTTCTGTAGGGACAAATGAAAGTGGTTTTCTCTTGATCCTCGGGTGCAATGTGAAATTGGTTGTAACCCGAATATCCGTCCAAAAAGCAATAAAATTCTTTTCTGGCCAATCTATCTAGCATTTGATCAATGAAGGCCAAATGGAAATGGTCCTACTTAGTTGCTAAATTTAAATGTCTATGATCCATGCAAATCCGCCATTCAGTGACGGTCCTAGTAAAGACATGGGTGATAAATGTGGTTCCACCTTTCTTGGGTACACATTATATCGGACTCACCCAACCACTACTAGAAATGGAGTATATGATATCCACATCTAACCACTTCAAAATTTCTTTCTTAACGACCTCTTTCATGATGGGATTTAATCTCGTTTGTGGTTGCACCTTTCCAACACTATTTTCTTCCAAAATTATCTTATGTTGGCAAAGGGATGGACTAATTCCTCTAATGTCGGCAATGGTCTAACCTATGGCTCTTTTGTGAGCTTTCAACACCTCTATCAACCTTAATTCTTGTTCATTACATAATTTCGAAGAAATAATTATGTGTAATTTTTTCTCCTCCATAAGATAAACAAACTTAAGGTGACTAGGTGGTGACTTTAATTCTAACTCTGGGGCTTGCTCTATGGATGGTTCTTGGACAATTCTATCCTTAAATTCAAGTTGCTCAAATGCCGCTAAATCCTATAAATCTTCCAACTCAACATTTTCTTCCATTATGTCCTCAAAATTTTCCCCAATGTCACTTTTGTAGGGAGCGTCAATCAAACTTGTCTCTAGATCTTCAGCTAAAGAAGATATGATTGAACAATCACCTACCTCTCCATGAAACTTAAAGGAATTAAATACATTGAATTCACTTCCTGATCACTAACTCTCATGGTTAACTTCCCTTTTTGCACATCAATTAATGTTCTCCCGCTTGCAAGAAAAGGTCGATCAAAAATGATTGGGACATTCTTGTCAGCTTCATAATCCAAAACTAGAATATTGGCCGGAAAAATAAATTTATCAACTTGGACCAAAATATTCTCTATTTTACCCTTAGGATAAGCAATGGACCTATCTGCCAATTGTAAAGTCTCGGTAGTCGGACAGACTTCTCCTATTCCTAGTTTGTTAACAAATTGACGATGACATAAGATTAATGTTTGCCCCCAAATCACATAAGATGGGATGGTAAAACTTCCCAGGTCTTTTAACTTGGGAGGAATTTTACAAGTAAGGAGTACACTACATTATTTGGTCAAAACAACCATTTCAAATTCATTCAACCTTCTCTTTTTATTTAGAATGTCTTTCAAAAATTTAACAAAGCTTGGCATTTGCTCAAGAGCTTCTACCAGATGTATGTTAATGTGGAGTTGCTTAAAAATGTCCAAAAACTTCTTAAATTGCTCGTCCACATTTTTTCTTTTCATTCTTTCTGGAAAAGGTAAATTCTGCAAATCTGGAGCTGGTTAAATGAATTTTTTCGGCTGGACAGTAAGCACAATCTTCTCACTGTGGGAAGTTTGAGCTGAGAGCTGAACGGTACTGGAAGTAGATGTAGGGATTGTTTTCTGGACAGAAACTGAATTTTGAGTTTCTCCTTTGGGATGAGTCAAAATTGGAAATTTTGACATATCAAAAGCATGTGAAACCTCATTTTGATGGGTCGGTTTTTCAATGGTTCCATTTGAGTGATTATTGACTTTGGAACTATCCTCACTCAACACAGTTACGGCTTTGATATGTTATTTACACTTAGGGGTTTATGTGTCACTAGGCAAATTTCCTAAAGGTCTACCCTTGAGATCGGCAGCAAATTGGCCGAGTTGGGTTTTAAAACTTCTTAACGTTGCATTGGTTTGGTTTATAAAACCTTTAAGTAATGATTTGAGTGAACCATTACCGTCCGATGCATTTTGCCTAGGCACGTGTGATTGTGAGGATTGCCCATTTTGATAGTTGTGCGAAGCACCTTGCTCATATCCCGGGGGATTTTGTGGTCGATTTTCGACATGAGTTACCTCGGGGGTTGAAGTCTAGGATTTCCGGACCAAGAAAAAATTGGGGTGATTCCTCCAATTTGGGTTATATGTGGGAGAAAAAATGGGCTATTTCTAGCATGACTCCCAACATAATTTACCGAGACGGGATTTTCGGGGCAATATTCATAAGAATGGCCCTCACTGCAAAAGGCACAAGATTCAGTCATAAATTGATTGGACATTATGGATTGAACTTGATTTTTTTTCACCATTTAAGTTTAAATTATTTTAAACCAAATTAGTTAAAGCTACAATTTGAGCATTTAAAGAAGAGATGGCATCAAGTTCATGGATTCTCGAAGCAGATTTATAAACAACAATAAGAGAATTTGACCATTCAGTATTATTATTAGAAATTTGTTCCAAAATGTCATACCCCTCGTTATAAGTCTTAGCTGTGAAAGCTCCACCGGCCGTTGCGTCAAGTATAATTTTAGCGGAACTGGAAAGTCCATTATAAAATGTCTCCAATTGAATGCAATAAGGGATTCCATGGTGAGGAAATTTCCATAGAAGGTCCTTAAATCTCTCCCATCTATCAGAAACTGCTTCATCTTCTTCTTGGCGAAAGGTCATAATTTCATTTCTATTTTTTACATTCCTTGTTGGAGGAAAGTATTATTTTTTAGAATTTTTTCCGCCAAATCATTCCAAATTAGGATCGAGTTTGGTGGTTGAGAATTTAGCCATGCTCTAACTATATCCTTTAATGTGTAAAGGAAAAGTGTCAAGCGTAAGGCTTCTTGGATGACTCCGAGAATTTTAAAATGATCCTTCATTTCTATAAAAGATTTTAAATGAGAGTGCGGAACTTCTGACGATAGTCCCTTAAACTGACCCATTGCGGAAATCATTTGAAACATTACCAGTTTTGGTTCAAAAGCTGTTGCTGTCATTTCGGGCCTACCTATTCCTGCGGCCAACTGACCGAATTCAGGAGTTGCATAGTCCCGTATGCCTTTATTTTTATCATCGGAAATTTTAACCGCGGCCTCCCGATGAGGTAAATTATCCCCCATGGTATGGTCTAAGTTAAGGATTTCACCTATTATTTCTACCTCTTTTACATCTTCTAATGGTTCCTTCTAATTTCAAGATCGAGAGGTAAAAATTCATCGTATTGTAGCCTTGGCATACAACACGGAATGTGAGATTGAAACAAATGACCAAGGCTCTAATGAAAATCAATATCTCAGGCTAAAAATCACGACAGTCCCCGACAGCGGCTCCAAAACCTTGACAGGCTAGAATCCTCCGTGTTCACACAGAGGGCACGAAGTCCCCACAGTGGCGGTGCAAGTGCACGCCAACACTATGATCGCTTGCAAGTAATAAAGTGGTAAAATATTGAGATCGTTTCCACAGGGACTAGACTACTAAGATTCGGTGACTTGAACTTCTTGCTCGTGTTTCGGTTTGTGAATAAAAGTTGGATTTTTGTTTATAAAAAGACTAAAAAGACTAAAATAGCGAAATGAACTTATAGAGTAAAGAATGGGCATGGGTGTAAGTGTTCCTTAAGATAAAATCAACAATAAAATGATTAGAATCTTATGAGTTGTTTATGAAAATTCCAATCTCTCGAAATTAAAAATTTACAAACGGTCCCCATGAAATTCCACAAAGTTCCTACGCTTGCCACTTCGAAACTTGCAGATTTAGCTAAAAAAAGAAAAAATAAAATCCATACCTAAATCTCTTTGTGATAAGAATAACCATCGCTTAATCCTTAACTAAATATATACAAAATTCGCATCTCTACGTAATTATCAAAGACTCTCTCGAGTTGTTTGTGCATCACTTAAGCCGTATTTCGGATCTACTCATCTGTGGGTCTAAGATCTAATAGTAACACTTTAAAGTGATCGGCATATACGCGTCAAGTTTAAGTCCCGTCTTAAGTGACCAAGTTTACAAAGTGATAAAGAGTAAAAACACCCAAATATTGTATAAAAATCCTAAAGTTAAACTCACACCCACACCCATACGAGTAAATTAGCTGATAATAGACGTAATAGAAGACATTAAATAAGACTGAAATGTAACTTTCATTAAAATTAAAAACAGATTACAACTTCAATACAATAAAATAAAATGTTAAGCTACAACTAAGAGAAGAAGAGAAGAACTTTACCTAAAATACTTCTAAGGATAATAAAGGGATGATAAAAGAGATAGATGATGGAACATCCTCAAATGAGCCCCAAGGCCTCTTTATATGGGGAGTGGAACGGATAAGGATAAAGCCTTTATCCAAAAAAAATAAGTACAAATAAACCTTGGGGCAAAGACCATTAAATAAAACCATAAAATAATATAAAGGTACAACTTTGCAGCCAATTACAACTGGAGGAAATCTCTGGGCAAGATCTTGAAGTAATTCATCCTCCAAAAAGCATAAAGTAACAAAAATCGTGAACATCCCACAGTGGGCAGTTGCAAGAAAATGCAAGTTTTTGAAATAAAATTTCTTCTTTTGTGTTTCATCATCTTTTTAAAACTTATAGAATAAAAATGGAAAAACAAGGAAATTGGGTATTTAATAATTGCAAAAATGTAGAAAATAAATAAGAAATAACTCTATAAGATGAGAGTTATCACACCGACAAACTTGAGATATTACTTGTCCTCAAGTAACGAAAATGAAAGAAATATGAACAAAAAGGAATGAGAAAGCGCAAAACTTGCGGAGGGGTGTTGAAATCTCGTCAAGCTCAAATGTTGTACGACTTCCTTTCTTTAATCTTCGAGGCGCAAAAATTAATCAGTAGGGCTTTATCGGGTTAGTGTATTTGGCTAAAAGAAATTCCCCCAAACTTGTCTAGAATAACAACATGGCTTGAATGATTTCGATTTATCACATCTATTTGTTGTATTTTTGACATTTCTAGGAAACCAATAAGTGGTTTTTCACTAATGATCTTTGGGTTAAAGCATTTTGCTTTTTTTGTGTCTTCCAATTTTTCGAAGACATCTGGTACATCAATTTTTTATAACACTTTGGAGCACATACTCCCCCAAACTTAAGCCGAACAATGTCCGCATTGTAGAACCGGGTTAAAGTGTTTGGCTTGGTAACTAGGGGAAGTGTTTTGGCCAAAATGAAAGAAGGCCTACGTTCTTTTAATTTTTGCAAACCCATAAGAACTAATCTAGAAAATCGTACCTGCAAAATAGTGAATATGCTAACGAGATCACGAAAATATTAATGCCCAATATTTACTAACAAAGGATTATAGTAGCGAGCAACAAAAATATCGAATAAATCAACAACAACCGCGTTATAGGAACACAAAAGACGCAGTTGGACAAAGTAGCAAATAACCACAAAAGCAATATTAAAGTTTCAAAAGTAATGATGAAACACCGAGGATGAAATTAATCTGATTTACCCATGTCACTTCGACTGGCCGAAGTCTACCCCGTAGCATCTATAGTGGAAGTCCGACGAATTTTGGGAAGGCGAACTTGTTGAGGACAAAGACCTCCTGGAAAACGTGGCAAGTCAACAGCCATCATTACATTCTTGGCAAAAAGAACCTTGTTGACAACACGGTTTCGGTCACGTGTATATGTCCAAAATTTCTCAAAACAAGTAGCCAAACCATCAACTCTGTTTTCAACTTGGGTGATCCGGTCAGTGATTTTATTCAAGGCATCAGCAATCGCTCCCATCTTGTGATTGCATTATTCCCATTGGGCAGCGATTAAAGATAGCCAAACTTCTTAACCATACCCGGTAACCGGAGGAGGTATCAGAGGAATATCGGAAGTGGTGGGAGGGACAACCGTGGATGGTCGAGAAGCAGGAACAAAAGCATCATCGGGCAGCCGGGGGCTGTTTGTAGCAGGTCCAAACGTGGTCTGTGGTCCGGTAGCATCATCCACCAAATCATCATTCTCGTACGCCGGTTTGTGCATGTGATTACCAGTTCCTTGGTCAAGTAAAGAATGACTGAAGGAAATCACATAATGTTCATAAACTAGCACTTTTGCGGCTGTTAGCAACTTTGTAATCAGTCGTGGAAAAATCAAAGGAGAACTAGCGCGCACCATGGCGGTTAGTATGGTGGAATATGCCAAAGCACCCACAACAATTGGTATGACTAGTAGGCACACTTGGGTGTTGCCAATGTTATTAATTCTTAAGCTTGGTCACTAGATATGTTTTTATCACTTAGCTTATTCAATAAGCTTTAAATATATGACAGTAGGAACTCTGTGGACACTCCATGGGCATAATATATGAAAATTCACTTTCGAGAAATTGGAATTTTTATAGAAGTCCCATGAGTCAATTTTTGACCATTTTGTTCCTACAATCATCTTAAGGAAAACTTACATCCATACCCATCTCTTAATTTAAAAAGGTTTATTTCTTCTTTTAAGTGTTCAACGAAAACTTGATTTTTACTCACAATCGAAAGGTGTTGGTCCCAAAAGGGTCTACAAGAATACTAAACAGTTTGTAGAAGGAGGGGATGAATACAAACACAATTTTCAAATTGAAAATATATATTGATAGAGAAGATCAATACAGATTTTACAAGATTGTTTGCGGAAAGATAAGGTATAAGAAACCTATCTAAACAATCTTAAGTTACAC